CCCAAATTTTCACCAAAACCACCCCAAACCTCTCCAATTTTGGGTCAAACCCATCGAAACCACCCAACCCTCTCCAATTTTGGTGAAACCTCCCCCAAAAAACCCCAAAGAATTGGAAAACTCCCCAAATTTTTATTCTCTAATAAAACCGGCGGCGGCCGCGCCGCCCCTCCCCCGCTCCGCCGACGCTCCTCCCCCCAAAATCCACCCCAAAAATCCCCAAAATCTTCTCGGACGCCGCATTTTGCTGAATTCCGTCGTTTTTGGGATTTTTTTCCGTCTTTTCCGGGCGTTTCTGAGGTTTTGCCGTCACTTTTCCGTCGATTTTTGGGAATTTGGGGTTGGGTCGGGGCGGTTTTGGGTGGGGCCGGGAACTTTTGGGTGGGTTTGGATCCATTTTGGGTGGGTTTCGCCCATTTTTGGTGGTTTCAAACCAAATTTTGATGGGTTTCATCCATTTTTGGTGGTTTCATGACCTTTTTGTTGGGTTTGGACCAACTTTTGGCGCGTTCAAGACTTTTCTGTTGAGTTTGGATGAAATTTTGGTGGTTTCAAACCAATTTTTGGTGGTTTCAAACCGGTTTTGATGACTTCAAAACCTTTCTGTTGTCTGTCGAAGAAATTTTGGGGGTTTCACGGCCGTTTTTATGGTTTTAGGACAATTTTTGACGCTTTCAAGACATTTCTGTTGAGTTTGCATGAAATTTTGGCGGTTTGAAAACAATTTTTGATGGTTTTAAGACCTTTCAGTTGGGTTTGGAAGAAATTTTGGGGGTTACAAGCCAATTTTTGGTGGCTTCAACACCTTTTTGTCAGGTTTTGACCATTTCTTGATGGTTACAAGACTGTTCTGTTGGGTTTACACCAATTTTTGGCGTTTTCAAGCCATTTTTGGTGGTTTCATGCCAATTTTTGATGGTTTCAAGACCTGTCCATTGGGTTTGGAAGAACGTTTGGGGGTTTCACGCCCGTTTTTAAGGTTTTAGGACAATTTTTGATGGTTTCAAGACTTTTCTGTTGGGTTTAGACCAAATTTTGGTGGTTTCAAATAATTTTTGACGGCTTCAAGACCTTTCTGTTGAGTTGGGACCAAATTTTAGTGGTTTCAAGAATTTTTCTTTTGGGTTTGGACCAATTTTTGGTGGCTTCAAACCAATTTTTGATAGTTTCAAGAGCTTTCTGTTGGTTTTGGAAGAAATTTTGGGGGTTTCACGCCAATTTTCGTGGGTTTAGGACAATTCTTGATGGTTTCATGACATTTCTGTTGAGTTTGGACCAAATTTTCGTGGATTCATGATTTTCTGCTGGGTTTGGATCAATTTTTGGCGGTTTCAAACCAATTTTTGAAGACCTTTCTCATGGGTTTACACCAAATTTTGATGTTTCAAGACCTTTCTGTTGGGTTTATATCAATTTTTGGTGGGTTCAAGACTTTTCTGTTGAGTTTGAACCAATTTTTTGTGGTTTCCAACCCATTTTTGATGCGTTTCAAGACCTTTCTGTTGGGTTTACACCAATTTTTGGCATTTTCAAGTCAATTTTTGACGGATGGAAGACCTTTCTATTGGGTTTGGACCAAATTTTGGTGGTTTCAGGCAAATTTTTGGTGGTTTCAAGACCTTTCTATTGGGTTTGGAAGAAATTTTGGGGGTTTCAAGCCAATTTTTGTGCGTTTAGGTCAACTTTTGATGGTTTCAAGACCTTTCCGTTGGGTTTACGCCAATTTTTGGCATTTTCAAGCCATTTTTGGTGGCTTCAAAGCAATTTTTGACACTTTGAAGATTTTCTGTGGGGTTTAGACCAAATTGTGATGGTTTCAAAACCTTTCTGTTGGGTTTACATCCATTTTTGCTGGTTTCAAGCTAATTTTGGTGGGTTTAGGCCACTTTTTGGTGGGTTCAAGAATTTTCGGTTGAGGTTGGGTCAAATTTTGGTGGTTTTGACCAATTTTTGGTGGGTTTTGACCAATTTTTGATGGTTTCAAGATCTTTTTTTTGGTGCAACATCAATTTCGGTGGGTTCAAGACCTGTCCATTGGGTTTGGAAGAAATTTTGGGGATTTCAAGCCGATTTTCGCGATTCTAGCACAATTTTTGATGGTTCCAAGACCTTTCCGTTGAGTTTTGACCATTTTTGGATGGTTTAAACCAACTTTCGATCGTTTCCAAACTTTTCTGTTCCTTTCCCACCACTTTTTAAGACTTTCAAACCATTTTTGATGACTTCAACTCAATTTTTTTCACTTCCAACCCATTTTTGCCACTTCCTAACCAATTCTTGACGATTTCAAGACTCTTCTCTCGGTTCCTCACCATTTTTTGTTGTTTTCAGACAATTTTTTCCCGTTTCAACCAATTTTTGCCACGTTCAAGATGATTTTTGATGGTTTCAAGACGTTCTCTTGGTTCCTCACCAATTTTTTCCGCTTACCCACTAATTTTTGTGTCTTTCAAGCCATCTTCTGATGGTCTCCAACCATTTTTGATGCTTTCACACCGATATCTGCCATCTCCAAACCATTTCTGATCATTCCAAGACAATTTCTTTGGTTTCCCACCATTTTGGTCCCTTTCAAGCCAATTTTGATGGTTTCAAGCCAATTTTGGTGGGTTTGGACCAATTTTTGAAGGTTTCAACCCAACTTTTGCTGGTCTCAATCCCTTTCCGTTGGGTTTGAACCAACTTTTGACGGTTTTCGGACCTTTCTGTGGATTTTTCTCCATTTTTTTGGTACTCTCAAGCCACTTTTGATGAGTTTGAGACCTTTCTGTTTAGTTTGGACCAATGTTTTCACCCTTTTTTTGACGATCTCAAGACCTTTGTGTTGGGTTTTGATGTGGTACTCTCAAGCCACTTTTGATGAGTTTGAGACCTTTCTGTTTAGTTTGGACCAATGTTTTCACCTTTTTTGGACGATTTCAAGACCTCTGTGTTGGGTTTTGACCAAGTTTTGGTGGTTTCAAACCAATTTTGGTGGTTTCACCCTTTTTGGACCATTTACCGCCATTTTTTTGTGGTTTCAAAACCTTTCCATTGCTTTTCTTCCAAGCTTTGATGGTTTCATGACCTTTCTTTTGTGTTTAGACCAATTTCTGGTGGTTTCAAGCCAAATTTTTTCACTTTTCAACCCACTCAAGACCTTTCCATTGGTTTTCAATAAGTTTTTATGACTTTCAAGTCAATTCTGGATGAATTCAAGATCTTCCCTCGGTTCCTCACCAATTGTTGTCACTTTCAGACAATTTTTTGCCACTTTCAACCCGTTTTTGATGGTTTCAAGACCTTTCTTTAGTGTTTTGACCATCTCCTCATGGTTTCCCCCATTTTTTGATGATTTCAAGACCTTTCTGTTGAGTTTCAACCAAGTTCTGATGGTTTCAAGCCGATTTTGGTGGGTTTAGGTCAAGTTTTGTTGTTTCATGACCTTTCTGTTGTGTTTGAACCAAATTTTGGTGATTTCAAACCATTTTTGGTGGGTTTATATCAAGTTTTGATGGTTTCAAGACGTTTTCATTGGCTTAACACCAACTTCTGGTGGTTTCAAGCTGGTTTTGGTGGGTTCAAGATCTTTGTGTTGAGTGTAGAAGAAATTTTGGGGGTTTCACACCCATTTTTTCTGGTTTTAAGGCAATTTTTGATGGTTTCAAGACCTTTCTGTTGTGTTTTGACCGATTCCTGACGGTTTCATCCATTTTTTGATGATTTCAAGACCTTTCTGTTGACTTTCAACCAAGTTTTGGTGGTTTCAAACCGATTTTGGTGGTTTCAAGCTATTTTTGATGGTTTCACCCATTTTTGGACTGTTTCACACCATTTTTTGTGGTTTCAAACCTATTCCATCAGTTTTCTACCCATTTTGGATGGTTTCAAACCAATTTTGGCGGTTTCAAGACCATTCTTTTGGGTTTAGACCAATTTCTGATGGTTTCAAGCCACTTTTTCTCCCTTTCAACCCATTTTTGACGGCTTCAAGCCAAGTTTTGATGCCTTCAAGACTTTCCTGTAGTGTTTTGACCAATTCCTCATGGTTTCACCCATTTTTTCATCATTTCAAGACCTTCCTCTCGGGATTTTACCAATTTTTGATGGTTTCACCCACTTTTTCATGCTTCCAAAACTTTTCTGTTGAGTTTCGACCAAGTTTTGGTAGTTTCAAACCATTTTTGGTGATTTCAAACCCTTTCGATTTGTTTTTTACCAATTTGTGACAGTTTCAAGCCATTTTTTTGCATTTTCAACCCATTTTTGATGGCTCCAAGCCAATTCCATTTGCTCACCACCAATTTGTGTTGCTTTCCACGAATTTTTGCCACTTCCAACCCATTTTTTGATGGTTCCAAGCCAATTCCACTTGTTCACCACCAACTTTTGTCTCTTCCAACCCATTTTCACCACCTCAATGCCATTTTTGATGTTTCCAAGGCAATTCCACTCTCTCACCACCAACTTTTGTCGCTTTCCCACCAACTTTTGTCTCGTCCAACCCATTTCTGTCACTTTCAACCCATTTTTTGATGGTTCCAAGCCAATTCCACTTGTTCACCACCAACTTTTGTATCTTCCAACCCATTTTTGTCTCTTCTAACTCATTTTTGTCACTTTCAACCCATTTTTTGATGGTTCCAAGCCAACTCCATTCTCTCACCACCAACCTTTGTCTCTTCCAACCCATATTTTGTCGCTTCCAACCCATTTTCACCACCTCAAAGCCGTTTTTGATGGTTCCAAGCCAATTCCGTTCTCTCACCACCAACCTTTGTCTCTTCCAACCCATTTTTGGTCTCTTCCAACCCATTTTTTCTCTCTTCCAACCCATTTTTTCTCTCTTCCAACCCATTTTCACCACTTCAACGCCGTTTTTAATGCTTCCACCACCTCCCACCGCGTCCAACGCCCCGGAAGCCCCGCCAACGCCAACGCCAACGCCAACGCCGCCGCTAAAACTCCTCACCTCCTCCTCTCCCCACCCACCCCCCCCCGCCCGAACAAAAAAACCCCGAAAAAGTCATGTTTTATTTTTGGATCTGGAATATAAAAAGCCGCAGGTTGATGTTCTTGGCCGCCAGCAGTTTGTTGCACTCCACCGAGTCGACGATGGGCAGCGCCATGTAGTCGGTCTCGTTGCTCTCGTTGCTGAAGACGAAGTGGTAGATGACCGGGTTGATCTTGACGTCGTCGTAGGGCCCTTCCAGGAGCAGGAAGGAGCATTCCATGGGGGAGTTGACCTTGCTCTTGAGGATCAGCTGGAAGCTCAGCGTGCGCTTGCAGGACAGGTTGGGGTTGCGCTCGGAGTCGTTGACGCGCGCCTTCAGCACCCAGGTCTGGTTGAGCACGGTGAGGCGCGGCGTCTCGTAGTACAGGCGCGTGATGAAGTCGTCGGTGCGGTACGGGCGGAACTGCACCTCTGGGAAAAAGAAAATTTTGGGGTGAGGTGGGAAAAGGAATTGTCACTGAGCTCCTAAAGGGCTGGCCAGTGTCGTACAGCGTCCCAGGAAGCGTCATCAGATCCTACGAGGATTCACCGTTATCCTACAAAATTCCCAGAATCATCTACAGATCCTACGAGGATTCACCATTATCCTACAAAATTCCTCAAATCATCAACAGATCCTATGAGGATTCACCATTATCCTACAAAATTCCTCAAATCATCCACAGATCCTACAAGGATTCATCACGGTCCTACAAAATTCTCAGAATTCTCATTAGATCCTAACAGGGTTCACCAGGATGCTGCAGAATTCCCAGGATCATCATCAGATCCCAAAGTGGAGTCACCACGGATCCTACAAAATTCCCAGGATCATCACCAGATCCTAAACTCAATTCAACAGGATGCTCCAAAGCCAGGATCCCAGCCCATCCTAGTCCATCCCAGCCCATCCCAGTCCGTCCTAC